CCTCCTTTTGTTGCTAATGTATTTATAGAAACATTTTTTATTGTCTATTACGGCAGTAGCCAGATTAAGTTCTAGTTGGGCTTGGGCCCTTCTAATTTTCTCCTTGCGTAACCTCACGACATCTTTGCAGTCCTCCTGAGTTGCCTGCCCCTTCTTCCAAAGGTCATAAACTCTTCTTTTTTTCCTGAGTTCCAGCCAAAGTTCTCTGTTCAGCCAGGCTGGTCTTCTTCCCCACCAGCTCATCTTTCGTCACATGCGGATGACCTGCTCCTACACCTTTAAGATTTCATTCTTGAAGACTGTCCAGCCTTCCTTGACTCCTTCTTACCTACTCCACCAAAACCCACAGGTTTTGGGTCACAAGATTCACATAGTCAAGACCTTTACAGAACACAAACCAGAAAATTTCAAACAGCGCTGCCTATCTGAGCCTCCCTTTTGAAAAGATCAGCAGAAACATTATTAAACTCAGAGGAATCCCTCAGGTGCCAAACTAGCATCATGCAAATAACAGCAAAATACAACCTAGGATATTCACTATCATGCTAATTCCTCAGATTCACCTGTTAAACTTTAATCAAAGACAAGCTTCCAGCTTTGAATATGCTAGGTTTGTTCCCCCCCTTCTCCTAGCCATCTATGAAATCCTGAGTCCCAAAGAGGCTTGAAGTAAAGTATTTGTTCTCACGACATTTTTTCACCTGACCAGAAAGACAAAGCATGCTGAAAGGCTGTGTATATAGCTGAAGTACTGAACAACTGCTGAGTAAGCTACTGGCTTGTTTTATCTTATTGCATGAAGGCAACTGAAGAACCAGCACAAGACTGCGCTTTAACAGGCTGTCCAACACTCATGAGACTGTTCTACAGTCTTGTAACTCAGACTTTTCTATGCAAACACAAGGATAGCTGCTCCATCTATTTCTCTCCTTGCTCAGTATCTCTTTGTGTGACTGCTGACAAGTAGCTACTGGGGGGAATTCAGTATCACAACCTTCTTACTAACAGTCACAGTTAAAAATTCTCCTGTTTGACAGTGTATTTCCTGGAAAAGGATTCTAGCTATCCTATTACAACTACATGATGCCATGTCTGATCTTCTGGGTATATTTGCTTTAAAATTTTCCAAACAAAAAGCTCTCTGAAAGACCAATGGTTTTTTTCCTGAAGTCAATGGTACAACACATTGGGACCAGACTCAAGATGATGCTCCTTATCACTACAGAAAGAAACAGAATCCCGAAAGTCACGGTATCCAAATAACCATAAATATCTATTCCATGTGCCAGCCAAACGTGTAGGAAGGATGCAGGCTTACTTGAACATGATTTTGAAGTCAAAATAAGATTGCTTGCCCTCCCCAGGAACTTACAAGAGGTACACCAAAGCCATGAAATGGGAGGGGGGGCGAGGAATTAGAGTGGCTGACCATTAACTGCATTACAGAGAGTAGCAGAAGTATCTGTTTCTTTGATAAATTCCTGAGGATTAGTGGTGGCAGAGAAGGCAGAAGCTGTTTGAGATTATACAGGAGAGGTTAGAGTGCCCCCAGTGCCGGGCAAAGGCTGTCATGCCCACCCAAGCTTCCCTGACAAAGGTGAGATTGCTGTGAGTCACAGCACGAGGCTAAACTGGCTGCGGAAGTCCCAGCCTCACACTACCTAAAGCCATGGATCAGATGGGTAACTTTTAAATGCATGGACTTTGTGCCACGCTGGCAGTGATTCCTCACAGCAAACTGTCTAGCTGCTGCTTGCACTGTGCTATAATTAAGTTAACGCACAAGGTCTATGTGGTGTGCCGATTACTGCTGGCTGCCAGCCAGGTCTGTACCCCTGCCGCGAAGTCACATTTATTGGTGTTTCCCTGCAGGAAGCTCCTGTTTTACACTG